CACAGCAGTTTTACAGTAAACAATTATAGCCATTCTAGTAATTAATTTTCTTTGTGGTTATTTATCCGTTATTATTTATTAATATTGGAATGTATTTTTATGATTTTCATGTTATCTTGCATAATTATCAACGAACGTACCTTCTACGAATACTTATTTTTGTTCAATGAATCGTAAAGTCTTGATTGTAACTTGAGAATCAAAAATAGGTAGAAGCACAAGTCTAAAGTTCTAGCAGTCGACTAACGCTGTATATGTTTAAGCGTAGGTTCGCGGTTAATAGCAAAACGAACGGACATGCGCTATTTGACAAAACCACACGTTTCTCCTTTTATATTATCTTTATTTGATTAATTTTGTTGATTTTATATTTATGGATAAAAATTAAACAATTTTGATAAAAATAGAAACTTCGTTATTACTAAGATATTTTTGTGAACTCTGAAGAAAAAATCTTGAGGAAAAGAGCAAAGGTTTGTTTTGACAAGCAGTGATAATTAAAAAATCACATTGTGTTCTTGCGTTTTTAACAGGCGATTAATGTTTTAATTTAAAACTAAATGATTCTATTTTGGGATAAGATACAAAAATAATTTGATGTGCTATAAAAATTTCTTGAAAAAAATCTTAACAAAATTGGATATTTTTATCGGTTGTCGTTAAAGGTTAATGGTTTTCTTCAGTTAACTTTTATAATTCGTGAAAAATCGATTTCTTGCAAAAATTCTCTGGAATTTTCTAAATCGTAAAGAAGAGTGTCCAATTTTTTTAATGAAAAATCCCGTTTTTGAAAATCTCATTTAGTTCACCAGATAAAATTTTTTTTAAAGGTCGCCGTAATTTTTATAGCTTGTTAAAGTTTTAATGGTTTTCCTTAATTAACTTTAAAAATTAGTGGAAAAACGATTGCTTGGAAAACGTTCCGAAAAATTTGCTAATTATAAAGGAAAATGTTTAATGAAACTTATTTATTTAAAGGTCGTTGAGAGGTTTATTGATTGTTAAAATCGTTTAATGGTTCAAACAAGGAAGTAGTTATATTTATTATTTTTTCGATATTTATTTTGCAATATCCAACAATACGGATCATGAAAGTGAGAAAGGCATGTTTCCTAAAAATGTTTGCACTTCATAGAGAAAAATGTCAAGTTCTAAAAATTTCAAAATATCCACTTGCATAAATATATAAAGAAGATTTCGCTTTGTCAAATGATGCTGAATATCTACATATTGAAGAAGAACTGCTTCCAAATAATGCTTGGGCCAGTATCTCAGAAGCAGAGGACAACGTTGAATGCATAGAGGAACAAGACGAGGACGCTGTTGTCTTGGTTTATTTTGAATCGGCCATATTTTAGTCATTTACTCACATATTTTTCCATATTTTTCAAGTATGTATATAGATATCGATGTGCTGACTGAGACCTTTATCAACTTTTGCCATCATTTCCATTCCAGATTTAAAATCCCAAATAACGCCCACCTTTTAGAATATCTATTTTGAAACACAAGAAATTTTCTTTGACTTAGGTTGGTAATTCTTCTTCGACTCTAATGACCTTCAACTATTATAGAGGCATTGGACAAAAGCATGAACATAATAAGTTGAAACTCATTCAAAATGTGGAGAGTTTAAGTAAAACCCCAACATGCATTTTCTACCATTTCATTGAATAATCCAAAACTTCTCGAATATCATGATAGTTAATATATCGTGGCAATCAAATAACTGCAGTAAATATTTATTGTAAAACAATATATATCAAAAGGATTACATCAACATTATTTTAGACAATTTTTGCACAAATCAAAACAAATTTTTGCAATTTTGCCAAAGCCAGCAATACAATCTAAAAATGAAGAGTGGAAGGCTAAGTTAGTAGAGAATAAAGTAAAAACAGGAATCTATTGCTAATAAGGAACGTTGACATCTTTTTAGACAGTTTGAATATTTATGCAAACAAATAATGAAACTTGTGATTTTATTGTTGTCGAACCTATGATATTGATGTGAATGCATATACTGATTATTAATCAATTTAATTGAGTTTGAGGACTTGTAGTTTCAAAAAATAGTTAGCCTATAAAACAATTTAGATTTCTTTGAGATCTGTACAATTCGTAAATAAGGAAGAAATTTAAGATCTTTGCCTTAGCACGTCACATCGCGGCATTAAAGAATGATTATGAAGCCCTTTTAATTACTTTTATATAATTGAATTTCTTTTGTGGACCAATTCTCTGACACAGAGTACACACTGATATTGCCAACGCAATGAAATTATTTCTAAATGTACTTAATCATTTGAAACAAGAACGTCTTTTGATAAACAATAAGGAAGAAACTCAGTTATTGACAACTAACCAATTGACAACTGATGATTTGTATTACGTTACTTTAGGTCAGAATCACATAATGAGAAATAACATCGAATAACATTTTGTATAGAATGTGAAAATGTCATCTTCAACACTTCATATCTCGGGAATTTATATACCAACATTTACCACCTCCTGGGAATGGGGCGTTTTATGCCTACTTTTGTGGCTATGAAAGTTTATTGGTAAGCATGGGTTCAGTCAAGTACATTTTTTTAACACATTTTTATTTAGTGGTTCCAGTCCAAATTCAAGTTCATGAGTTGTGTTTACCGCTAGAGAAAGGAAGGTTGCGGTATGTGCTTCAGTAGTTTCATCTATATTAGCAAGCGTGGGCTTACACCATCTAATTTCAGCAAATAATGACTAGAGGATTTATATTTAACAAAGTGATTTACCCATCTAACTGACGTTAAGGTACTTTTTCTATCATTTCTATTACCGTTGCAGGTGGTATCGAAACTATTCATTCTGGCTGTTTACCTTTAAACAAAATCATGGATGGAATAGCTTACTTCAAGCTTATGTGATTATATACTATCCCAGAGTATTCCCAGAAACTCTGAAGTAATGCACCTTCTTGTCGTCATTGTGGCTGTAATAATGATTATAATCTGTTCCTAAATCACTTGGCTTTTTTTATGTGAGTTTAGAATCATGCAACGTCAACTAGCTTTTCAATATCAGACATTTGAAGGTTATTCTATCCATCTTTTGGTTTACAGGAGACGTTTGTTTGGATGTCATTGCATAAATTGTCATAATCTATTTTTAAGATGACAATGCTTACATTGGTAGAATGTCTTCTACAAATATTTCAATTTGGATTTTTTCAATTCATGGCAAAGCTTCGATTTCTATGCAGTTAATAACAGTGTAATTTTGCCAGTATTGTAGTGAAGTTAGTTCACTTTCTAAATTATCTAGCAACTTGTTGAAAGTTCTTCTGATGTAATGTGTCTTAATATAGTTATATCACCTTCGTTTAAATCCTGAGTTACAAATCTTTTCAACTTTAGATAGAATATAGGTACCTTTTAAGTAATCTTCTTCTTTTAGACCTGTAGAATTTAGTGATTTAAACAAACAATGAAAAACCACCATGAAGTCAATGGCAGTTAATTTCATGTGGATAAAAAGTTCTTGAAGACACTTTATTTCCAAAACTTATTTCAACCATCTTCACTAGGTCTGGATACAATTTCGTTGCTTCATGATTGGCTGAAACAGACTCTGTTATCAAGTTCACGTTGTGAAAGTTATCGAACAAGTCTTTATTTGCAACAAATGGTTGTAATTTAGCATTTGATGAAAAGTATTCTTTTCCTAAACTTATCTTATAGGCTTTTAGCGTTACCTTTAATGATATTAATCCTTACAATTGCGCTCTCAACATTTTCTATAGATCCTTTTTTAATATCCAATAAATTTGTATTTGTATTGTTGTATTTTGAATCTTGTCATATTGGTTACCACAATATACCAAAATCTTTCGCATTCAGTCTAGATAAACTTCCAACCCTATAAAAGAATAGACAACGTAGCACAAACAAAGAAGGCAAACAAAACAACATAATAATAACATCCTTCTCTTGATTGTAATATACGAAGAACATCCGCTACTGAGTTAAGGGAAGGCTCTTTTGAGACATCTGATGCAGGACATAAATTAATAAGTTTGAATCAAATTATGTTGCACTTTGGAGATGTTATCTATGATGTACTATAATACTATAGTTTCAAAAAAATATAAATCTGATCACTTAATTCAAATTTATTCCCTTGGTGGTAACACAGTTAACGCGAAAGTGTTCGATTTTAAAACACGCGTAAACAGTTTTCCAGGAAAAACTACAAAGGTGTACTGTATACCTGTTTGCTCGAACAGGAAATTTTAAATTACCCTCCGGCGGTTTTATCCACAGCTATATTATTCTACCTTGTCAGTCGACGTCTCAGTTTAGTTTATTTACCCTGCCGATATTTACGCCGCGTTTCCCCTTTATTTATACCGGGGGGTATTTCTGGAATTCGATTCTGTGTGGTGCGGTTTGATAAAAAGCGCACGTAAATCCGGCAAGGTATATTTTTAGATCACAGAATAAAAAAAAAATAGAAAGAAAAGCGAGGTTTTTATTGTATTTCGAGGTAAAAAACTTAATTTAATGGCGAATTTTTGTTACGGCGACTTCGAACGTTTTACATTTTAAATTGGACAATTTAGCTCAATTTTAACGAGTTACCATTCTGCAAGTCACAATCGAAACTATTAAAGAAACGCCGCTGATAACTAATATAGAGGCCAATAAGTCAAAAGATCGAAGTTGACTGTAATTTAATCATTAATTTTTATATTTAAATTTTTTGTTTTACGAAAAATTTATGTTATATGTATTGTGTTAAAATCGATTGATTTTGTTTATGAAATATTATTGATATAAAATAATATTAAACGACCATAAGTTATCCTATGAGTGGATATTGTTCTTTTAAGTGGTCTAATTGAATATTTATGTATAAAATATCGAAATAAATATTATTAGTAGCAAATCAATTGATAAAAAATCGATAAAAAAATTCCATATAAGCAATTTCTAAGAAAAAAGGTATTAACTACTTACATTTTATTGTTTTCATTAAAAAAAGTAATTGCATTCCATTAAATAACACTTAAGTTCAATGAAAACTAACTTTGATACAACTCTATTTACTGTTATTATCCCTTCCTTGCGATAAGATAATTTGCCGTCATTCAGTTATAAAGATGAAACATTCCATCTGGCGTAGATTTTGCGATATTTTACCAGTTTATATTACGATGAAGGTCAATAACTACGACAAAAACACTTAAATGATTCTCGAATGTCAATGTTTTAAGTTATGTCGCTATGTGTGCGCACCTTACATCAGTGCGATACTGAAACGTCAGCGCATTTTCGTTCGCGTTTTATTTTGGCGATAGTACAGCTTGGGCGAGTTCTAGAGAGAACAAAAAATAGAATAAATAAGATAAATACGTATGTTAATTTAATTAGAATTCTTTTTCTTGAAATATCACATGATTTTAAATAGATTTTTTTATCTTGAAAAACGAAAACATATTTTTTTCTAGTACTTTTTACTCTCTATCAATAATCAATTACGGTGTCGAGAAAATATCGAGTTTTCAAACAATGTATTTTCAGAAAATCATAAACTAACTGTCTAAAAGTAAAGCAAACATTCAGGAATTCCTGAAAGGTAAATATTTTGTGGTGGTAATTCAAATCGATCTTTTAATCTTTGTGGATGAAATGATATTACTGACATATTGATACGTTACCGTGTGTTTAATTTGATTTACTATAGAGGATCATTGAAAACTAGATAACAACACTTAAATTATAATAGAGCAAACATAATCTGATTTATATTTGTTTGAGAGATAATTGATTTAAACTTTTTTAGTTTGATATATGAACAAGTCTAAAAGTATTTCTTCGACGTCAAAGCAATTGATCTGACTTGGGAGGTGATTTAGAAGCTGTATAAAGCATTCCTATTTCGACTATACTAAAATCACCATTAATCACAAAGAATCCTAATGTTATGCCAAAAAATAATGATGTCATATTTATAAGAAAATTTTTGACGTACAAATCTTCAAAAAATGTGTTTATGAAACCATGGTTGCCTTCCAATGAAGAAATCACACTACACTACATGCCACTCAAGCATATGGTTGAAGTTAGATTCATATAATCTGCATTTTTTTACGAATCTTAATCTGATTCGTAAAATCATAGTTGACCAGATAAGTACCAGGAAGCTTACTGACACTAGTAGAATTGGGGTAGGTGGGTGAAGCACCCTGAAACACCTTGAAAATATTATTAAATTTCCAAAAAACATAACCGATTACAATGAATACATGGAAAGAAACAGCTTGATTAATGTACAGGGTGTTATAGAAATCAAGAAAATGGCGACTAGAACTTTTTATATTGTATGAACCCTTATATTTCATATAAAATTGATATTTCATATAAGCTCAATTAACACTTAAAAAAATTCTCCACAATCAAATAATAGCAAATTTCACTTCTAGAAAGTCAAAATCTTGTCTTTTTGACCTATTCAAAAATTATTAGCAAAACAAACTAAAAAAAGACAAATAATAAGTTTATGTTTTGCAATCTGCATATTAGGAAATACCTTCAAGACAAACAATACGTTTCTGTAACCATAATGAATAAGTTTAAACTAAAGTGTTAAACAAAATCAAAGTGCTTCATAAAAATTTACCAGGTATGTTAAGAAAGAACACTTAGCTGATAAGAAAACAACAAATATTTGTTTTTTTATAGTTGAGTCAATGTTTATTCCGATTAGTTGTTAGCAATTTCAATGCTAAAAAGTACTTCAACAATAATTTACAACAAACCGTAATCATTTATTAAGTGAACTTACTTGTTCAACTAAAACGTTGAACAAAACAACCAATCAACTAAATCTAGTAAATGTTACTAGGCTTTCACGTCTTTTTTTGTGCGTGAAACACAAAATAATTATTAACAATTAAAGAACTAATTACTGTTTGTTATGTACGGTGTGGAGTGGAAGAATTCTTCATCGAGTGCAATAATATCTTCTAGGTTCGGTTGAGTTTCGTACCATTTTTTCTATTAATGTTGTCTTAGTGGTAATAAATTTCTATAGTCTTTTTGGCCATCCTCTGATAATACTAGCTGTTCCTGACAAGTATTTTTATATTATCAAAATCTATTTTTTGAAAACGTTCTATATGGCAATGCTTTGCGTTTACTGATTGGTATTTCCCATCCTGAAATTTTTTTTGTGTTACTTTATACGACATTTGTAGCTCCGTCCAGTTTGTCCTACATGGTTATTCTTACACTTACACGACAGTCTAAATTCCTGTCTCTTTTAGTAGAGGAAGTTCGTCCTTAGTTATTGGCTATATGTTACGTAGTTTGCTGACTCTTGTTTCGTCACACCTGCATCAAAGAGAATGAAAAAACCAACACTCACCATATTTGCTCTCTATTACTTCTCCTTGTTATTCATATCCGTTGGATATCTCTTATCATACAACCATTGCTTAGGAGTACGTCCTTTAGATTTTTTTCTTCGTTCTTCAAACTCAAACTCACACACACATATTCTTCTGGGACTTTGGAAAAGACTGGGCATTTTGGACAACACTTGTGCGGGTGCATTTTCTGCCGGTACATTTGGTGTTTGAGATGAGTAGGTATTGGTTCTGGGCATTATCTACCAATAAGTATTTAGATACATGTAATAGTAAAGAGATTCATAGGCTTTAAATGTTTTTAGAACACCTTAATCCATATTGCTAGGTTGCAATAAACTTGTATTTGGAGTACGACTAGTTTATGGTTGCGAGACAAAATGACTCTAAAACCAGTCTTCAAATAAAGCAGCAGTAGCCCAAACTTTTCGGTTTGACCTCCAAATTTTTTGGAGGTCAACCTTTAAGGCTGTGGGCTTTTCAGACCGATACACGAATGAAGGTTTTAAATTGTAATCGCCAACAACGTTTCCACCATAAGTGTTAACTAATCTATCGCCGCTTTATATCCTGGAATTACCTTTTCTTCATGTACAATAAATGTTTTAAAGGACAAATTCTTCCAGAAAAGTGTTGCCTCATCTACATTAAATAAAATATCTGCGATATAGTCGCCTTCTTCTATTAACTTCTTTAATATCTCAGGAAATGCAGATGCAGCGACTTTAACGATACTTGCTGTTTTTCCTCTCTTGCTGTGTAAAAAGATTTTATCTTTTGCATTATCATCAGCTTGTTACTTTAGTTTTTCAAAAAGCTGCTTGGTTTGATTGCATATGGTATTCTGGTTTACTGAACAATTCTTGGGCTTTGTTCGGTTTTCACGTCAGGTTTACTTAAATTGTGGTATTACTATATTAATTAACAGCGCAGTTTCATTTATAATAACGCTTAATGATAATGATGCAATCTTTAGATCGCACATCATTTAGGTCAAGAAAAACTGAGAAGAACAACCTTAGTCTTCGCCAAGGAGACGATTCTAACGTGGAAGGGATTCTTTATAGTACTGGTATAACTAAGTAAAGAGAAAAAAATGTTATTAAGATCTGCATTTCACATTGTTTCAATTTTCATTGGCTTAACTAATTTGAAATAGCTCTACAAGGAGTTTTTCATGGTAGATTATCTTTGATTCTCTACGCATTCCTCATCTGCTTTGTCATTTCAATAAATTCGTCTCATTTTGTTGCGTGTTATGTTTTTTTTTATGGTTTGCATTGAAATATAATTTAATTTTTATTTTGAGGCTTAACTAATTCAGAGTTAATTATTTTTATTTCCCACATATATGAAGTATTTAAAGAGAAAGTATGGTAATCGTGCAAAATTCCACATCCACACTTTCATGGAGTTTAATGTACCTTTAGGATAAGGTATATAAACGCGTAAATAGCTACGATGACGAAAATTAAACTAAAATCGTAGATTTGTAACAAATTTTGTATTAAATCCGTATACCGGAAGTATCACTCAAGTCGCGTTTATTGAGATGTCGATTAATATGGTAAATAGTGTTGTAGAACCATCGGTAATACTTCAATCACTCATTCTTTGTCAAGCACAAAGTTCTTCGAATGTTACGATCTTTCGAAATATTGGATCATTTCTTCTGAATAACAGCTTTGTTTTAAGCAACTTGAATCTTTGACGTTTTTACGGTTAAATTCGTGGCGGGATATTTTCATCTCTAATTCGATTGATCACGTCATTCAAAAACAAAGCTATTCCTTGGAATCAAAATTAAAATTAATCTGACCCAATTGCAAACTCAATTATATTTGCTGTGCCTGAGCAAGCTTCAATGCTTTGTATCATCAGAGGGCTTTATTACATGCTTTATTTCAATTAACGTAAAGTAAATCACACAAAATTTTTATAATGAAATTAAATAAATAATAATATAATCATAATAATTACACAAAATAAATATTGTTTTAAGTTTAATGCTTTACTTTTATTAAAATGATTAACTCATTTTAAAATGAAATAATTTAATTCATTTCGAATAAATCTCGTTAATTATAAATTTATTAAATTCCAACGTAGTTCCACTTAACTGAATAACTCTTTAACCAATTAAGTATATTTATTCAAAAAGTACTTTCTTCAAATTATCACATTATGCAAAAGTTTTAACTTTATGTACTGTGTTAACTTTGCGAAAAAACGACGAGTATCGTTCTACTGCACATGAACTAAAAACTAATGAGGCGTGTGCTCTTGGTTCTGCTCTGATAACTTTTCATTAAAACCCAAGTTTAAGTGTAAAAATTTCCTCTCTTTACTGAAAATGGATCGAATCTTAAGAAACAAGGAGACTGTAAACAGTTAAAAAATTGTATATTAAATGGTCAAGGTTTAAGATTTTAATGAAATCGCTGATGTAGACGTTTATTTTTAAAACATTTTAATAACGAAGCCCCATCTGTACGAGGATAGCTTTATCTATTCGCAAAACCTAAGTTTAGAATGCGTACATAATAACGTTGGTATGAAAATAACAACATTTCCATACAGATGGCGTTAACGAAACCTTTGTCGGTTTATTTTCGATTTTTAAAGCAAACATTTCTATCCTACGATTATTTCGCAACGATGCAAATTCTCAATTTACATAATTTATATAGCGATTAATAATCGTACACGTGCATTTTTTACATAGCAATTTGACGAGCTGCTGTTCATGTATTAATTGGGAAAGCGCAATCGACCGCTAGAGTGAACATAAAAATAGCTGGTTGTTTGTGCAATTCCAGCCATTTTTTCTCCTTTTTTTTTTCTGTACAACCCGGACAACATAGTATTTAAATGACGATTCGGCGAT